GATACGCAGAGCCGTGTCGGTCTAATCGCAAAACTTCGACGGTCATAACTTCTTCGTTATAAGCTGGATTTCAGTGTTCTTTATATGTACGAAATCCTTGTGACATATAATATAATTTGGTTACGATTATTTATTCTAAATAATCTTCTATCAAAAAGTCATTTTTTACGCTTATTATCTCTAAATTGACTAGCTCGAATCTGCGGGCGTTACAATTATCTCCCCCTTAGGATGATTACGTCCCCGAATCATCAACAAAACAGAGCTTGTATAATGACTCCATATGTTATCCTTTTCATCCTAGGTAATAACCGTAACTCATATGTCCCTTCAAATGAGTATCTAACTTTTGGACTTCTTGACTGCTGGCGATGCTCAATCTTGCATCTACTCTTCGTACTATGTTGGACTTTCGATCGTAACTTTCGAGTTACAAACTTGATCCTTATTGGAGACTCCTGATTCTTCTTAAACGGACTAATTTAAGACAATTTTTTTACTTAATTTACTGTAACAGGTCGATTGGTCAGGTTCTAATGACCTCTAGTCGTATGATGTAATGCTTAGACTCAGGTCTTTTAGAGCCAATATCATTAAACAATAACAAAGTTTAAGGGTGGGAAGGAAGGAATGATATGTTAGACTCTACATCAAACTCTTTATTCATTCAGGACTTTCATCAAACAGGTAGAGTGCATGTATAATGTAAGAGAATTGGCTCAAGAACAATAATAGTTATGTACATACCTCATTAATTTTATAGAATGAGCACAAAACAACTCGAAGATACCTTGTTTTTGCTTGCTTCTCTTCATTTAATATGTGCTCGAATTCATAGAAAAAATCATGAAATTGATAATGATGGCTGAAATCAAATACGTGAAATGATAATAGATCTAAGATGAAGTTAAATTGCTAAAACACCTTATTTGAGAGTAAAACTCGAAGCATCATTATGATAGAAATCGATATCGGTTGATGATTGATTATTGATGTTGATGAATTGCTATAACGTTGATCTGAAATTAAATTGAAGCTTGAAGCTATTGAATATCATACTTTTAGTTACAATTCCATTAGATGAATGGGACAACTTTCTATGAAGGATTGGTAAAATTTGGTTGCGATTCAGAAATCATCAAACGACAAAGGGGATGACTTCTCTGTTACGATCAATGTCTTGGTAGAAGAATCGAAGAAGATGAACTCGAAAAACACAAAAAATGTAGATGTAGAAGAATGAAGAACATGATGGACCAAAGTCACTCGGATTATCAATTACAGATGTAAAAGAATGAAGAACATGAACTCGAAAAACACAAAAATTGCGACTTTAAAAGTTATGATTTAGCATTGTTCGATCAATGTCTAACTCAAATCGATTATCGGTTGAAAGAATATAATATTGGAGATAGAAGATCGATCAGAGTGAATTGAAGAACAAGGAATATTGATCCAACAAATATCTTGGTAGAAGAATCGAAGCAGATGAGGTGATTTCTTGATGACGTGAAGATGATGCCAACATTATATCTGATCTGAATTTAACCTAGTGACTAATCTACCCCTAATTAACTAATCAATTAGATTAATTAGTGTTTATTCGTTTTTTTATGAGGATCAAAGGCTAAGATTTGGTCCCCATGTCTCACAAAATATAGATGGTCTCAAATGAAGCTATATATATATATATATATATATATATATATATATATATATATATATATATATATATATATATATAAAACGAGATGAATCGAAAAAATTATGATTCAACATATTTATAATCCTTAATTTGCTATGATCCAAATATCTTATGATCCTTAATTATGTCTTTTAAAATTCAATATTAAGTGATTTATTAAATATAATGATCCAAAATTTGTTATGACAAAAGTTTGATTTAGTTGAACTCACTAAAGAGACACAACTTTTGTGAGAAATGTTATAAATGAATCATTTGTATGTTTTTGGTGAAACAAGTAATGAATCATTAGATGATATAAAAATAATATGAATTAGAAAAAAAAATTGCCAAAAAAATTTCGAGACGATTCATTTCTTTAGTGACTTAAGAGATGATTGTCTTTTCGGACAATTTTAATGGATAATCTAAAAAATGAAACTTTAAGCTATTTTTTAATCGATTTTTGTAAATCATCTGTTTTTATATTATCTAATAACTAATGCTTTTTGTCTATAGAAGAACATGCATTTAATTTATTTTTACGATTTTTCATGAAAGTTTTGTTTATCTCACACACACACACACATATATATATATATATATATATATATATATATAGATATATATATATATATATATATATATATATATATAGGGAAGGGTTATTTGGAAAACAAAAAATCCTAAAAAAACTCTAAAAATTATAAAAATGCATAAAAAAATACAAAGACATCACAAAACTTTTTTTTGAATTTTTTTATCAAAAAATCGCAGCATTTTTTACAATTTCGCTGAAAAAAAAATAAAAAATCAATTTTTTTTTTTTGTAAAAAAAAAGTTTTTTTTCAAAAAAAATTTTCAACTATTTTGACATAAAAGTTGCGATTTTTTGATAAAAAAATTCAAAAAAAAAGTTTTGTGATCTCTAAGTATTTTTTTTATGCATTTTAATGATTTTTAGGGTTTTTTGTTTTCCATAGAACCTAAACCTCTCTCTCTCTCTATATATATATATATATATATATATATATATATATATATATATATATATATATATATATATATGACTAAAAATAACTTTTATAAGTATAAATGATATAAATCAAAAATATTTTATAAACAAAGGTGGGCCACTTGGTTATATTAGGAGTTAATCTTGACCTTGCAAACAAAAAAATGGTGGGGCAATTGGTTACGTTAGGAGTTAAAAACAATATCAAAATATGAGAAAATAATCAAATTATTGTGAAAAAATGGTTTTTAGGAAAACCGAATTTATGATATGTTTGCTTTTATTACGCAAGTTAAATAAAATCAACAAAATTAAAAACCTCAAACCGGACGTAGTGGTCTCGATTAGCTCGACAAACACAGGATGACCACTCGGCATGCCAAACTTGGCTCGGCAACTCGGTGGAATATTATCGAGTTTGTTTCTTCTTCCTCCCTTCTTCCCTCCTTCCTTCTCCCCTCTCTTCTTTGGTTCTTCTTTTCTTAGACAGAGTTGAGGCAGAGCTGGTGCACTTGGCACTACTCCCCTGAGCCTCACAACCATATCCTGTATGTATAAGTTTATTGTTAAATAATCATATTTGAATAATTATTATGTGCTCATCGGCACCTGACCCTGAGATGTGGATCATCCATAACACATTAGCATGGCCTACTCCTCCTGTTCGAACCGGGGTTTGAAACCAAACTTCTCCTCAGGAGGATAGATGAGGCGATTCATGTGAGATCCAATGTAGATCCAACTTTCGATTCACTCGTAGGATCCGGGCGGTCCGGGGGGGGGGGGGGGAGGGGCACCATGGCCCCTCTCTTCTCGAGAATCCATAGATCCCTTTATGAGTGTATGGACAACTATCTCTCGAGCACAAGTTTAGGTTCAGCCTCAATGGGAAAATAAAATGGAGCACCTAACAATGCATCTTCACGCACCAAGAACTACGAGATCACCCCTTTAATTCTGGGGTGACGGAGGGATCATACCATTCGAGCCTTTTTTTCATGCTTTTCCCCGAGATCTGGAGAAAACTGAAATCAATAGGATTCCCCTAATCCTCCCTTACCGAAAAGAAGAGCGTGAAATTCTTTTTCCTTTCCGCAGGTACCAGGAGTTTGGATCTAGCCGTAAGAAGAATGCTTGGTATAAATAACTCACTTCTTGGTCTTCGACCCCCTCAGTCACTACGAACGCCCCCGATCAGTGCAATGGGATGTGTCTATTTATTTATCTCTTGACTCGAAATGGGAGCAGGTTTGAAAAAGCATCTTAGAGTGTCTAGGGTCGGGCAACGAGGGTCTCTTAACGCCTTTTTTTTCTTCTCATCTGAGTTATTTCGCAAAGACTTGCCATGGTAAGGAAGAAGGGGGGAACATACACACTTGGAGAGCGCAGTACAACGAAGAGTTGTATGCTGCGTTCGGGAAGGATGAATCGCTCCCGAAAATGAATCTATTGATTCTCTCTCAATTGGTACTCGGCGTGCCAAACTTGGCTCAGCAACTCGGTGGAATATTGTCGAGTTTGTTTCTTCTTCTTCCCTTCTTCCCTCCTTCCTTCTCCCCCACTCGACAACCATATCTTCCTCTCTTCTTTGGTTCTTTTCTTAGCCGGAGCTGAGGAAGAGCTGGTGCACTTGGCACCACTCCCCTGAGCCTCACAATCATATTCTATATGTATAAGTTTATTGTTAAATAATCATATTTGAATAATTATTATTTATAAATAGTTAAGGTATTTATTAAAATATATAAAGTAATTATTGATGTGACGGGGTGTGATTTTTTTTGAAAGAGAATTATATTGCATTGATCGTAGAGATGGTTGTAAAAACTAATGTGATACACTTGAAATTTGAAAGACATTGACATTACGATGGCTATAAAGTCCTATGATTGTCAAATAAAAAACACAATTCAATCCTACAGTTGTCAAATCGAAAACAAAATATTCAAGATTTTACCACGACTTATTCGGTTATTAGTTCAAATAACAATACCCAATAAAAAAAATGGGTCTTTTTGGTTTTTGGTAAACGTTAAATCCTTATATTGTAATCTCTATTCATACATGGAAGGGAGACCGTTCCATAATGGCAACTAAAACGTTGAGTTTTTTATGGACTCGTTCTCTTATAGTATCTTGACCTGAATTCTGATTGGCGGATGTATGGAAACTTATTCCCATGTACAGCAATATATAAAACTACTAATATCATTATCCAAAAAAGTCTTTGGGTTGCCAATAGTCAATTCCATTTTAGAATACTTCAGTAAAATATAATTAAATAATATTCAATTTCATAGGTTATCACTAGAAACTATCATAATCGAAAAATAGTAATAATTAAAGATAAATGAAAAGAGTTTGAGATAAACAGATCACTTGTGGAAGCCTATAAATGAAGGCCGCTAACATCAGAACAAAATAAGGCAAAGGAAACATATATAGCTAGTCATGGAAGTAGAAAAGACACTACGCATGAATGTTGGCCATGGAGAATCAAGCTACGCAAGCAACTCATTGATTCAGGTCTCTCTTACACGTACTCTCATTAAATACACATACAATCATATATATATCAAGTGCGTCTTTAAAGTTGTAAATTGGAATCAAATTATTTTTCAGGAAAGTGTGATACGGAAAAGTGAGACTGTTTTACAAGATACAATCAAGGGAATGGTTAATACTGAAGCGGCCTTCAGCAAAAGTTTCGTACTAGCAGATATAGGATGCGGGCCTGGCACAAATACACTTTTGCTTGCATCTATGGTTATTGATATAGTCCTTGAGCTGCGTAAAGAAAATAATATTCATAAAGCACCACAATTTCAAGTCTGCTTAAATGATCTTTTTGGAAATGATTTCAATTCCATTTTCCAATTGCTACCCAACTTTTATGCAAACCTTAAGAAGGAGAAGGGAGAAAACATTGGCTCTTGTTTTGTTTCAGCTAATCCCGGTTCCTTTTATAGTAGACTCTTTCCAGATGAAAGCATACACCTTGTTCACTCCTCTTGGGCTGTTCATTGGCTTTCTCAGGTTTGAATATACCTATTTGCAAAATCAAAATGTGAAAAAATATACATATAGTTAAATGTTCAAACTATCTTTTATGCAAATTATTCATAGTCACTTGGACATTTTATAGATACCTGAAGGCATTGAAAACAACAAAGATAATATATACATGGCGACATCAAGTCCTCCCAATGTGTTCGAAGCATATGAAAAGCAATTTCAAACCGACTTTATAAAGTTTCTACAAATGCGATCCAAGGAAGTAGTGCATGGTGGGTGCATGGTTTTAACATTTCTTGGTCGTAGCAGTGTTGATCCAACCACCAATGAAAATGGTGGTCGTATTCTTGAGCTACTATCACAATCACTACTCGATATGGTTAAAGAGGTATATATATAAGGTTCTTCACTTGAAAATTTTGTTTTGTGTACGTAAGTAACCATATATATATGCTTTTAAAAATTGTAGGGACTAGTTCAAGAATCAGATTTGCACTCATTCAATATCCCAAATTATACTCCATGCGAGGATGAAGTCAGTAAAGCTGTTCACAATGAGGGATCATTTTCTATTAATACCTATAATGTTTTTCAAGGTAACTGGGATCCAAGGGATACAGACTTTACAAATGTGAAAGATTCAGATGAGAAGAGCCACATCCATGCGAAAAACTGCACAACTGCTCTGAGAACTGTTTATGAATCGTTGTTGACATCTCATTTCGGAAATTTATTAAATATTGATGTGCTATTTCAGAAGTTGACAATGAAAGTGGCCGAAGATCTAGCAAACAAAAAAATCAGACACCTTAACATAGTCATTTCATTGACTAGAAAATGAGATATTCATGTGTTCAAATAAGTCTATTGGTTGTTTTAAACTTTTCATTATTGAGATTGTTGGTATGTTATATTTTGTTGTAATTGTTGTGTATTGGCCTTCTGTAAACGTCTAGCCCGTTATCTTGTTGTATTTTGCCTATATATTACTCTATCTTATTTGTTCAATGGTTTTTAGTTTCATTTTTCTATTTCTTGGATTTTTGACAATACGTTATGGTGTTTTACATTATGGATTGGATACTAAGATTGAGAAGTCAAGGCAACAGTCGATGGAAAGGAAGAATATGACATAGAAGATTCGATGTGTTAAATGATAACTTTATCATATTGCTCAAATATCTTTTAAAAAATCGGATGTTGAAACTTTTGTTGTGATTTTGTTACTTAATTGAATGATGTAAGTTTTTTGGCTACCAAATCTGTATCAACATAAATTTTGTCCAACCTGAAACACATTTATGAAAGTACAATGCTTTAATAAACATATAAATAAAAGTATATTGCATCCATTATATGGTTGTATGCAATAAATAGCAATCTACTTCTGTTTATTATTTATATTATAGCATTTTTACTTTATTGTATGTGTGTGTAGAAAGAGTAACTGAAAAAAATAATAATAACAACATACTTAGCAAGTCTATAGCAACAAAACCTTGATGTTAACCCAAGCAAAAAAATTAAACTTGGTTCTTATGTGTGTATGTGTATACAGGTGGTGTTCCAAGTTTAAGAGGTTGGATTGTTTTGTATCTCCACATTCTTTTTCTAGACTCTATATTTGAAGAAAACAGAGGATTAGAAGAAGCATGCGAATGTGAGTCAACATCAAGGTCATTTGAGTCAACACTGCATAAAGAGAAATTAAATTACAATGCTAAAATAAACAGAAATGGAAAATAGCATGAATATTTAAGGGAACAAGATGTGTTGGAGTATAAGTTCAGTTAAGTAACACCCTCTTTGTTTCAATATCCACATATGTCTTGACAGGTCCTATTTTACCGACATACCCTGCTGCTGTTGGTTAACTCCCAAGGGCAAAATCGTCATTAATCATTGGTGCTACATCCTACCATATACCAATTGCAATTCTGCTCAAGAGTAGACAATTAATTTTTTTCCATAGACTTTTGTAGTTTGAGTGCCCTGTTTTGCCAAATTTGGCAAAATTATAAACCATAACGAAGAAGATCAAGCTTCTATTCATGAAGGAGGGAGTAGACTAATGTAATCAGCTGCAAACTCTTCAACATTCTTATCTAACACAGTCTTTTGGGCTACACTCATAATTTCTACCCTTGATTACCCAAAATCTTGTCTGTATCTTCTTCTCCAATGAGTAGCAAAAATATCTTGGATACTCAACCACCTCTTTTAATGGCTTTTGCCTAGTGTTTACCATGGTTGCATAAATCGCTAATCGGCCGCTAATCGGTGGACTAGCGATTACGGATTAATCGGCTATGCGGGGATTAATCGGAAGATTAATCGGGGACCATTAATTATTAAGAAAATTATTCAAAAAATTATAAATCTAATATTAATCCTACAAAAAAAGCGATTAATTGGCGATTAGGGCCGATTAGGGCCGATTTTGACCTGCGTTGACCAAACCCGATTAGGTCCGATTAAGTCCGATTAGGTCCGATTAGGCCCGATTAGGTCTGATTAATTCCGACTTTGACCTGTATTGACCAAACCCGATTATAGTGACCGATTAGCAATAAATCTCATCGGTGGAGGTCCGATTAGCGATTAATCGCCGATTAGACCGATTTCTGCAACACTGGTGTTTACTAAAAACTCATATTTTGGCCTCAAAACCTCTTTGAAATGATGAAAACTTCCTTACCACAAATGCAATTTCCCTATTTGAAATCAATCAATATAAATACACATGAAAATCTCTATTAAAGTTTCATTATTTTGTCCTAATTTACGAATAAGTTCCAAACTAAAATTTGTTTACGAAAAAACATGAATTACAGGTAAAAGTGACGATTTGGTCTTTTTTTTTTCCCAATTTACCGGTTTCATTGCTGACGTGGACGCCTAGTCATTAAATGACCTGGGGAAATCTCCATTAAAGTCTCATTATTTTACCATAATTTACGAATAAATCTCAAACTAAAATTTGTTTACATTTTGTCCCTTTTTCTCCCTATAGCACAGGTTACATTGATGACCTGGACGCCTAACCATTTAAAACGCCTAACCATTTAAATGAGTTGATAAGATGGATATGATGGATTATGTAAAATTAGATATACAATTTGAAAGTTCTTATAAACTTCAAAAATGATTAAGGTGTTACTAGTTTATGTAATTATTGTAGTCTTGGTTTGATGCATTTCATATTCCAAATAATGTACTAATGCAACAAGATATTGAGTTTTATTGTAAACGTAGCATTATATAACCTTGCATATCCATCTCATCGGCTTATTTAATAACTAGGTGTCCAGGTCAAGAATGAAACTTGTAAAATGTGTGTTACAAAGAGAAAATGGTCAAATCGTAAAGAAATTTTAGTTTGAGACTTATTCGTAAGTTAGGGTAAAATAATGAGACTTAAATATAGATTTTCTCGGCTTATTTAATAACTAAGCGTCCACGTCAGCAATGAAACTCATAAACTGAGAAAAAAATAACCAAATCGTCACTTTTACCGGTAATTCATGTTTTTTCATAAATAAATTTTCGTTTGGAATTTATTCGTAAATTATGATAAAATACTAAAATAATAAACTTTTATAAAGATTTCCTTAACCCATCAAATAAAAAAAAACAACGTATATTGGCCTTTTTGTATCACATGGGCTATTTTTATATAATTGTTTATGAACCATTTATGTAAAACAAAATTCTGCACACGGACCTATTTTGTAAAATTTACTGCAACAGATAAACTTTCATAAGAAGGACCTATTTTGTGCAGGGTAAACTGTAAATTCCACATAAACGTATTCAACCCACTGCAATCGATTGCTGCACTTCTCCATCGACGACGCCATCGGCATCTCCTACATCGTTACTTTCTTTTCTCGTCTCCTCTCTATCTCTGTGAAACGATTTCTGATTCACAGTCAATTTCCAACTCGATTTAAGTTTTAGCATAATAACTCTACTGCAAATCTTTCTTAGTTCAATATGCTACAAATATCATGAAATTACTCAGTTGTTGGATGAGTAAATAGGGAGCAGGTTTCTAAACATAAAAGCATAGATGTAACTCTTATATTTCCTTTTTCGTCCTTTGTTCCATTTGAGGCTGATACAAGAGCTGTTAGTATCACAATAAACACACTTTACTTTCTATGGAATTACTCACTCTGTTCCATAAGTTTGATTTTGTATTTATCTTTATTATTCCTTTTTTGTTTCTCTAAATTGTAACCAGATTGAGCATATTAGGTTCTTTCCTGGAGACTTAATCGATAAGGTTAGTATTTTGGGTTAAATGCTAATAAAGTTTTGCTAGTTCCCACTTTATGCAACAAAATGAAACACTGATTACATCTGATTTTGCTTTCTTTGTTATCAATTCTTCTAGGAAATGGAATGAACTTGCAATGTGATTATGTTTTGTGCGTTCAATGATGGATTGTAAGTTTTAAACTTTATTCTAATAACAACTTATTTTGCTCTATATTCGTATTAATTGTAACATTTGGTAATTTATTGCTATTGTTTTTGGTTGGAACAATAATCGAAATGAAGAACTGAATCAAAGTTTGATTAAGAATCCTAAAATAGAGTAAAGTACTTTGTTCTTGATTTGCCTGTGCAAAAATTACGAGTGTTTGACTTTGTTGATTGTGAAAGAAACTGAACAATGTGTGGGTGTTGTTTATTATTTGAATATTTTGATGAATCAAAACCTATATTTTGTTGCAAGACAAGAGGCTGTTGATTGGATTTCAAAGGTTTGTTTGATCCTTTTTCAAGATTTTTTTGGTTAATTTAGGTTTGATTTGTTCTGGCTTATTTTTTTCTAAAAAGAAATTATTTGTTAAGATTTTTTTGGTTAATCAACTTTGGACCATTATGTGAACATCTTTTTGTAAATTACTTGGACAACTTTCTTGTTGTCTATGAATTACCTGTAAGTTAGTACTTAGTACTTACTGGTAGCAAGATCAAATATTTGGGGTTAAATCCCTTAACAATTGCAATTACTTTCAAAGAATGCCTTAATAAGAAAAAAAATACTATGTTGTATTTGAAAAAATTGAAGTAGGATGCTATAATAAACAAATGCATATGATATGATTCGAACATGGTTCTAAAAGGAAGGTAATGAGTGATGAAGGAGCTGAAGAGCGTAAGTAGAAAGAAAAGAAAATCCGAGAGTATGAAGTGCACAATTTTCTTCTTTCGTTTCTTTAATAAGAAAGAAAATATGAAATAACAACGTACTTTCATGTTTTTTATAGCATCGTACTTCCTTTTGTTCCTATTGAAGCATTATGTTTTTGAAAAATCTACCAATTATAGCAATGTCATAAAAAATGCAAAGGATTTTTCGCTGCTATAACTGGATAAATTTTCAAAGTATAATGCCCTAATAAGAAAAACAATATCAATGTTCATTTTAATGTTGTCCCATTTAATATATCTTTTTGTCCGATTAGGTTTGGTTGGAATGGAATCATATAATAGGGTTTGTAATTGGTTGCTAAATAGGGCTGGAATGTAATCATGGAGATGAGAATACAAATTTTCATGAAACAAAAGAATATATAATTCTTTCCTAGTGAAATGCATATGATTTTTTAAAGCACGGAAATAATAATGAAAATATGTGATATGTTGGTACCTTCATCAACCCTCTATCTATCCCGCATGACTCCTCCTCTCTAACATTAATCATCAAAAAATTCGATAAATACTTTCAGAAAACAAATAATTTCAGAAAATCAAATATTTTAGATTAATGTTATTTATAAATTAAAGTCAAAATATGATTACTTTAGGTTTGATATCAAAATATGACTAGTTTAGATTGGATATAATCATATAACCAGATTTGCTCAAGAATAAAAAATAATATTTGTTTAAAGCAGGTTAAATGTGTTATTTTAGGAATGAAAAAAAGACATGGGTTACTATCATGGTTTGATGCAATTTTTAACTTCCGTATATCATAAAAATAAAAAATGATAATATCCTCCCTAATAAATAAAGATTTTTTTTTCCACTTGTCACATTCTCATTTATTTTGTGATATGTAATTTTGTGGTTATTTTAAATTAGAGTAAATTACACGAATGGTCCCTATGGTTTAGGGTAATTTGCGCGTTTAGTCTCTAACTTATTTTTTTAACTCGGAAGGTCCCTACTGTTTGTTTTTGTTACGCGCTTGGTCCCTATCTTACCTAAAAAAAACTATTTTGCCATTGATTTTTTAATTTATTTAAATAAACACACCCCAACCCCACCCTCGTCACTATACCTTATCTACCCCACCATTCTTCCATATTTAAAAAATAGTCTTTTTAGGTAATATAGGGACCAAACGAGTAACAAAAACAAACATTAGGGACCAAACGTGTATCAAAAACAAACAGTAGGGACTTTCCGAGTTAAAAAAATAAGTTAGGGACCAAACGTGTAAATTACCGCAAACCATAGGGACCATTCGTGTAATTTACTCTTTTAAATTAATTTTTATTTCACATGTCATTTTATGGTTTTTTCATTTTATTAAATTCTAGATAGTGTTTAAATGCAATAATAAATGCATATCAATTTCATTAATGAACCTTCATTCTAATTTCAATATTACTAAATTAAATATTCATTAATTTTCTTTATTTATTTATTTAAATTATTTGTTTAAATTTAAAAGAGAAAAAAACACTTTAATTTTTATAATTCAATATTTTCTCACTTTTCTTATAAATTCATACCTCTCAAATATTTAGAATTTTGTATTTATTTTTTCTTTTAAATAAACTCATGTAATACATAGGTCTGATACCTAAGTACACTCTAATAAATGAAGGTTTTTTTGTCACTTGTCAAACTCTCATTCAATTTGTTAAATGTCATTTTGTGGTTATTTTGAATTATTTTTTTATTCCACATGTCATTTTATGGTTTTTCTATTTTATTAATTCTACATAGTATTTAAATGCAATAATAAATGCATGTTAATTTCCTTAATGAATTTTCCTTTTAATTTCAAAATTACTAAATTAAAGCTTCATTAATTTCCTTTATTTATTTATCTAAATTATTTGTTTAAATTCAAAAAAAACACTTTAATTTTTATAATTCAATTTTTTCTCATTTTTCTTATAAATTCAAACTTTTCAAATGTTTAGAATTTTATATTTAGTTTTTTCTTTTAAATAAACTCATGTAATACATGGGTCTCATACCTAGTAACAATATATACATGTATCTTTTTCAACTTGTTTTCTATCTCGGCTCCTTTCTTTCTATGGAAATATGCAAAAAAAAAAGACCCTAAAGTTTGATTCAATTAACGTAAAAGTCATTCGTGATTTTATTTTATTTTTATTATTATTATTATTATTATTATTATTATTATTATTTAATTTTTTACAATTAAGCCCAAAAAAAACAAGTAAATACTAATAACCCTTATATCTGCTTAATGTTGGTTTTCAAGAACAAATTATAACAAAACAACCAGTGATGGTTTTTTCGTTAAAAGGGTTAAAGTTTAGGGATTTTTCTTTTTATATATATACTAAATTAATTTGAAGAAAACTCATATTTATTTATTAAAAATCAACAAAAGTTCTATTAATTGTATTTAACATGTGTTTTTATAACTATTGTAGAACAACTTGAATTTAATTTGATCACTTTAAAAAAAAATGAAAACTCCCTCCCTTGCCATTCTTTACACATAAGTTACTTATTTTTACATCCAAGACCTGAAAATTCAATAATAAAGGGAACATGTGGCCTAAAAACACGCTCTATACAATAAATCAACAAAGTTTCTTAAATTATATCTTTATGATTGTAGTCATCATATATAATTTAAGAGGACTTTGTTGATTTATCGTATGAAGCGCGTTTCTAGGCCACATGCTACCTTCATTGTTTGACTATTCGAAGCTTAAGTGTAAAAAAAAAAGTGGATTCCTAACGTTTGGACCTTGTAATAATTCTTAGTAGATAAAAAGAGTTTTTGTTTTTTCGAAGTGACCAAATTAAGTTCAAGTTGTTCTACAACATACAACTTAAATGCTCACAAGGTTAAATAGTTACAAAGAATATTATAAGAGCTACAATAGTTATAAAAAAACATGCTAAAATGATATATAGTTATGATTTTAGTTATGATATTTATTGAACAGAGTTACAAAAAAACTCAAAAATGATATATAAATTATCATAATTATGTTTTTTAATAAATAAAATGAACTTTTTAGTAAAAAGAATGTAGATTGTATCCTTATTTTGAGTTTTTTTAATAAATAAATATGAGTTTTCTTCAAATTATTTAGTATATATAAAAAGAAAAACCTCCAGAAAAATCTTTAACCTTTAACCCTATTAACGAAAAAGTCATCTCTGATTTTTTATTTACAATTTGACCCTAGAAACCAGCATTAACCGGATACAAGAGTTATTTTGCAAGTGTGTACCGGTTTTTGGGATTAATTGCAAAAAAAAAAGAAAAAAAAGGTTCAAGGATAGCTTTTGCGTTAATAGAGCCAAACTTCAAGGATTTTTTTTTCTTTTTTTTTCTTCAGATTTCTCTTCTTTCTAACATTAATCATTTTTATATTTGATACATACTTTTAAAAAGAAGGATAATTTCACAAAAAAAATATATTAATGTTATTTTCAAATTAAAGTACATGTTTTTACTTTATATTTGATACAATCACATAATCAGAATACGAATAAGAATAAAAAATAATATTTGTTTAAAACAAATTAAATGTGTTTTTTTAGGAATGAAAAAGACATGGGTTACTATCATGGTTTTGGTGCAATTCTCAAGAGTGGTCATAGTCCCACGTCCTTTATTTGAAGAAATAAAAAAAGTGGGTCTTTTTGGTTTTTATAACTAGGGCCTTCGAAACACGTTTTTTGAAAAGTGATCCGGTCTTGTTCAAGGTGTTTTTATCTAACCGGCAAATTTCTCACTGATTCATCTACAAACGGTTTTGGGCATCAACAAAACTCACCTTATGTTACACTTGTTTGATAGAATTTAACAGATAATAGAATGAAAAACAGTCACAAACTTGTTTAATCCCATGGATCAACCCACAAACATCAAATTCAGTTATGACGGGGAAGCCACGAGGTGTGATTGCACCTTGCGATTCAAGAAGAGTTGAACAAACTCTTAATAAATTAGGAATAACTGAAACCCTAGAGGTAATTAGAGACAACCCTTCTTGACGAAGTTGAGCTTTTCCATTTCTTGATTTTGAATGAGCAAAAAACGGCTAAAATATTTTTTGAACTAGCACATCATTGACCTACAAGTTTCGCAAATATTGAGGCTGATAATTATTAGGATGGAGGGAGTGGTGCCATCGAAACCACACTCCCCTCAGTGCCACATAAGCGTCATATCATTTTTTACCACAAAAGTGTGGTTCCTTGCCACACCCAAGGAGTAGTGTCACACTTTATATTTTTTAAAAAAATTAAAATAAAAACTTTAATTTTCTCCCCACTCAATCACAAAACGGTCAAATTCTACCCACCCAATCACAAAACACGG